TCCAGAACAGATCAATCCACACAGCTTGAAAGCTAATTGCTCATTGCCAGGAGCTCAGGGAATCCGGACTGGGGAGTGAGTAACAATGAAGAGAATTTCTTTTTGGGGAGTGTTAGTGCTCCGGAACCAGAGCATAAGGATGGTGGTACTACATTATCAATGAACTTACTAAACATACCACAATCAGAAAGCAGGGTTTCAGCCAGGAATGTTGGACTCCCAACAGTTGGAAGACTGAGGCATGAGTATTGCCAAGAGTTTGAGGACAGTAAGACCCTATCTCAAAACAAACAAACAAACATCCATGTCCCCTCCATTTAATGAAAGTTGCAGCAGACACAGGGAAAAAGACACACACAGAGACAGGGCACACCAAGGTCCCTGGCACCTCCCTGGGGGATGTCAAGTGTTCACTGACAACAGATTTCAATCCACACAAAGGATCTGGTGACAGGATGGGAAATAACTGGTCAATGAATTTCACCAAGCCAAAGAAAAACCAGTTAGACCAGTTACCAAGTCACCAGGCAAGCCAGCCAGAACCACCTCTTCATAAGTAAGAGTTGACCTCTATCCAGCATCTTCCATAAATGATTGGGACAACAGCCTCTCACAAAAAAATAAATAAATAAATAAATATAAATATAAATAAAATTTAAAAAAGCAGAAAAATGAAGTTTTCCATTGATATCCCCAAGAATCTTCCAGAAAACTGTGTGCTTGTCAGGTTTGTAAGTCTACATATTCACCATTAAAGATCAGAACACTAGGGGCAGGGGAGATGGCTCAGTGGGTAAAATACTTGCCTGCAAGCATAAGGACATGAGTTCAGATCCCCAGAACCCATGTAAAAATCCAGGGTTGGAGACATGCACCTGTAATCTCAACAGTGGGAACCAGAAACAGGAGGATCTCTTGGGCTTGCTAGACAGCTAGTAGAACTAACTTGGTGAGCTCCAGGTTCAGTAAGAGAGCCTGTGTCAAAAAATAACACAGGTGAACCAGCCAGATGGCTCAGTGGGTAAAGGCATCTACCATCAAGCCTACCCAACCATCTAGGTTTGATTCCTGGGGATTCACATAGTGGAAGGAGAGAGCCAACTTCCCCAAGTTATCTTCTAATCTCCACAGGCACACAACACATGACACATGTGCTCCTACTCACACATACAGTCTTTGTCTCTCTTACCACACACACTCACACATGCTCTCTCTCTCTCTCTTTCTCTCTCTCTCTCTCTGTCTGTCTGTCTCTCTCTCTCTCTCACACACACACACACACAGAGGGATGGATGGATGGATGGATGGATGGATGGATGGATGGATGGATGGATGGATGGATGGACAGGTGATAAAATTTATGTTACCCATAGTTTGGGGTTAATAACTAATGACAATATACTGTAGTAAACATCATGTAATTGTGTTCTGTCTCTTTCCCTTCCTTCCTCCTTTCCTCAACTCTCTCCAAATACTTTTTAAGCTTTCAGCTCTTACTTAAACCAGTGGTTCCCAACCTGTGGGTCCTGACCATTTGGGGGTCATATGTCAGACATTTACATTATGATTCATATCAGTAGCAAAATTACAGATATGAAGTAGCAATGAAAATAATAGACTCCAAACTATAAAATGAAATAAACCCTTTCCTCCTGAAGTTGCTTTTGGTCGAGTTTACCACAGCAACTTGAACGCTAAGACATCCCCCAGCTCCTACTATCCAAGAGTCCTCCTCAGGAGTTCCCACAAAAACCTCACCCACATATCCACTGTTCCTTTGAGCTCAGGTGAGGGCAAAAATAAATAACATTCCCTCCCCTCCCTCCCCTCCCTCTTCTGTGCTGACCCTAAGCGGCTCACTCCCTCTCTCCCCCATTCACCAGTGCCTCCCAGGGAATTTCACAGCATGTGAATGAGGTCACTGAAGCTACAAACAGCTGGTGAACTGCTCTCTGGGATATCAAACACAATAAAAGCTAGTGCTCAGAACAGAAATGTCCCAGGTACAGGAGAGAAAGGCAGAAGTGGCGAACAACCCCAGGAAAGGGGACACTTTCTCTTTCCTTCCTCCTCTCTCTCCCTTTCTCTCTTCTCCCTCCTTTTCTCCCTTCTTTAGAACAGAATGTCTCCCGTCTTCCCCTCTGGTCTCTCTCTTTCCTTCCTTCTTTTTTCCTGAGGTTCAAGGTTTCACTTTATAACTGGGGTGACCTCACATTTGCTACCCTCCTGCCTCAATCTTCCCAGGACTGGGATTACTGATGACTGATTTCTGCCACAAACAGCATCAAGACACACACACACCCATAAGTCCCTGGGGGCACACAGATGCTCCCGACTGAGTCATATACAGGGAGAGCTCCCCAGAGATAAGAGCGGAAGGTTTTCTACATGTGATAGTTAATATGAAACAGAAACGTTACAGGGACATCATCTTAAGGGTAGAGATTTGATGTTTAGGTATAAAAAAGGCATGGGAAAATGAGCTCAGAGCCCCTGCTTGGAATGCCCCGGTGAGAGGCTGGAAGCATACTCAGCTTAGTCCTCTATCCTCATCACCATCACTCTCCAGTAGCTCTGAACATTCAGGACTATTTTCTCCACGGAACAAGAAGAGCCACAAATGAAACTGACAAAGGATTGGCAAACTTCAAAGAAGAAAATGAGAGATTAGATTCGGCAAAGCCCAGAGAGGTGCTCAGACAAGGAAGGAGGGCAGCAGAGAAACCCTGAATGATAAACATGTTTTCAAAGGCTCTGCCCTGAAAGCAAACACGTACCAAGATAAACAGTCACGTATAGGCTTTGCACCCAACCCAGGACTTTGGGAAAGATTTTTAAGCAACATGCAAAGGCCAGTTCTCCCTATTCAAGGCTGGGAGTCCAGTCCACGGGTCCAACATTTCTGGAAAGCCATTTGGCAATCCAAATCAGGAGCCTCTGACCCAGAAATTTCATTTCTGGAAAACAAGCCTAAAAGAAACAAACATGGAGCTGGAGAGATGGCTCGGCAGTGAAGAGCACTCACTGGCTGCTCTTGCAGAGGATCTGGGTTCAGTTCCCAACACCCACCAGGCAGCTCACAACTGTCTGTAACTACAATTCCAGAGGGTTCCACACCCTTTCCTGGCATCTAAGGGTTCATGTGTGATACACACACATTCTTGCAGACAGACACACACACACACACATTATATTTATATATATAAATTATTTTTAAAAATAAAACTTGAGGGGTTGGAGAGATGGCTCAGCGGTTAAGAGCACCGGCTGCTCTTCCAGAGGACCTGGGTCAATTCCCAGCACACACATTGCAGTTGGTAACAGGATCTGACACCTGTATACCAATGCACATAAAATAAAGTTAAATAAATTGTAAAAAGAATAAAAAAAATTGAACCCCAAAACAGCCAAACTCCTTTTTTTAATCTAAGTGCCTCATAACTCAGAAAGCTAAAGATATGAAGGCAATAAATGCATGAAGGGAGCAGCAGATAGACAGCTCAGTGGTAAAGGCACTTGCCCCCAGCCTGACTACATGAATTCAATCCTCTAGACCCACATATGTAGAAAGAGAAGAGCAACTCCTACAAGCAGTCCTCTAACTTCCATGTAGGCCATGACATACATGTGCACACTCATATACAGACACACATGCATGTACACACACACAAATAAAAACAACTCTCATCAATGTTGAATTTTTACACATTTCTTTTTCTGAGTATCTCTTTACAAATTGTCTTCTAGAAGCAAATAAAAATAAAAAAATTAAAAAAACATGCTGACTCAAATCCATATCCTTGCACAGTCTACTATTCACCCAAGCAGAGACCCACAGCAACATTCACTATCCAGCACAGAAGGTAGCTAGCAGTCCTCCCAAAAAAATCTACCCCCCCCCACTTACTTTTGTAAATAAAGGTTTTTGACATACGAGCCACACCCCTGTCATAACACCTAACTGTGGTTGGTTACCTACTACAATTTCAGGGTTCAGTATATTCATTCCTCTCTTCCTATTAGAGATTTCACTTACTACAGGCTCAGTAACCCACAGTTAACTGTAAACTATCAAATGGAAGATTCCAGAAATGATCAATTCATGTGTTTTCAATCATGTACTCTTTGGGGTGTCACAATAAAATCTCAAGATGGCCTGTTCTGCCCCACCTGAGATGTGAAACAACTTCAAGTATAAGACTAGTTGTGAAGATGTCATAATTATATTCGGGTTACCTCCATTTTACTCAGTGGTGTCCCCCAAGTACAAGAGTGATGTGATGCTTGTTATCGTATTGGAGAATATCATCATATCATCATAATTTTCTTTTCTTTTTGGTTTTTCAAGACAGGCTTTCTCTGTGGCTTTGGAGCCTGTCCTGGAACTAACTCTGTAGACCAGGCTGGCCTCGAACTCACAGAGATCTGCCTGTCTCAACCTCCTGAGTGCTGGCATTAAAGGTGTGCACCACCAACGCCTGGCACATCATCATAATTATTCTATTTCAGTATTGCTTACAGTTGTTAATCTCTTAACAAGTAACATGGGGTGTGTGTGTGTGTGTGTGTGTGTGTGTGTGTGTGTGTGTGTGTGTGTGTGTGTGTGTGCGTGCATATACAACATGCACAACCCTCAGAGGCCAGGGACACTGGATCTTCTCAGTGATACGGGTGCTGGAAACTGAACATGATCCCTCTAGAAGAGCATCAAGTGCTCCTAAATGCTGAGCCATACCCCAACTCCCTCAGTTTATTTCTGTTAGGGTATTCTATCATAGCAATAGAAAAGTATAGATATATATAGACACACACAAATAATATACAGGCACCACAGTGAAATGTATCTCTCATGGAAAAGCAGGAGGTGAGTGTAGTTTTGATAGAGATTCTAGGGTTTGCACTCTACAGCCTTCATCACCTAAATCTTTGCAGAAGTCGCCCATCCCTGGGGCTAGTGGCCAGGGAGAAATGGCTTAGAATGGCGCTTGCCTCCAGCATACCTTTCTGACAATGACTGTGTGTCCAGCACCGTTCCACAAACTGCCCATTGATGACGGTGGCAGGGCAATTGGTCTTGCCCTTGGCAGTGCCTGGACAGACATCACCACATTCCTCATTGTCATCTTTGTTCAGCACGATGTAGTTGTCCTCCACTGAATCCAGGATCCTGGACCAGTCAATAGTGGCCAAGTAGCAGAGCTCGTTATTCTTCTCAATGCGGACAGAGCCCCGGGTGATGTTCATGAGGTTGTAGAGCCCCAGCTCCTTCAGGTGGACCATCTCAAAGATGACCAGGGCATAGTTGAAGAAGAGGCGGGAGCCTCGGATGACTGTGAGGTTGGGGAAGAGGTCTTTTAGACTCTCCAGGCCATAGACACGAAAAAGCAGCAGGTAGTCTGTGATCATGATGAGTTTGGGGAAACTGAGGTCTCGGAAGTCTTCGGGCCTGGTTTTGAACATCAGGAGGATCTGCAGGTGGCCCTCAATAACTGAGCAGTTCTCCAGCTCATGCAGCCGGGTCAGGTTGTTCCGGATGTCCATGCCAGGGCACACTAGAGGGCAGACGACAAAAGCAAAGTAGGTGAGCCTGGGACCCGAGAACAGCTAATGGAACCAGAGTCGAGGAGATGGCAAAGTGTTTGCTGTGCAGGCAGGAGGACCTGGCCCATGCCTGGGACCCATGTAATAAGCTGGTGTGGCCACATGTGTATGTGAGGGCTGGGGATGTGTAGAGACAGAAGGATCCCCAGGATGCACTGAGCTACTTGTATCTCAGGTCAGTAACTCCAGGTCAGTAAAAGATCCTGTCTCAAGAAACAAAGTGGAGGGCTCCTAAGGAATGATTGTCACTTGAAGTTGACCTCTGGCCTCTAACATACACATGCACACAAACACACACACACACACACACACCACCACCACCACCACCACCACCACCACCACCAGGGGCTATATATCCCAGAACACTGTAGGCCAGCATATCAGAGACTCCTGCACATCTATGCTCACAATAGCTCAGGTATGAAAGCAGTTTAAAAGTCCATCAACAGATAAATAAAGGAAATGTGGTACATATTGTATATGGACATCTTCTCAAGAGCCGAGTTATGAAACAAGCAACTGATAGATGGGAACTAGCTCAGCTGGTAGACCATTTGCCCATAAAGCCCCTCAGTTCCATGCCCAGCACACATGGACATGGTGGCGCACATCTATAATCCCAGTATTTAGGAGGCAGAGACAAGAGGGTCAGGAGTTAAAAGTCATCTTCGGCTGCACAGTGAATAAGAGGCCAGCTGGGTTACTTGAGACCTTGCCTCAAATAATAATAATAACAGACAACAAAGAAAATATGGCATTTAGACAAAATGGAGTATTAGTCAGCCAGACAATGAAAGAATAACATGTACTACATATACATAATGTATGTGCATGACAGAAGCAGAAAGGAGACCAATTGAGGTAAAGAAAGACACCTGTGGGTGAACAGAGGACCAAGTAAGAATAATGGGTCAGGGCTGCTGAGCAAGGTACAATCAAATAGACACAAAATGGCATAGCTCTAAACCCATTCTTCAGTATGCCAACCAAAACCCTTAATGGAGGAAAAAGCCAGGGAGCCTCTACAATCTTCCTAATTGTTAACAATGACAGTGCCATGGTCAACACGAGCAGGTGTCTCTTCCATATACAGATTTCATGAACTTCAGAGAGTTTCCCAGGAACGGATGATCTATATCCAGGCTTTGAGAAGCCTCTATACTGTTTCCCAGTGACTATACCAGCAGGCATTCCCACCAGCAGCATTTGTTATTTGCTTATCTTTCTGATAATAGCCATTGCCATAAATGTCCATCCGTGGATGAAGACATAATGATAAATGGTTTGCTAGGGGTGGAGCCTACTTGTAACCTCAAGGGGTTGAGGCAGGAGGAATAATGAGTTTGAAGATAACCTAGGATACATGGACTGGGCTGGCAGACATGGTTCAGGTGTAGAGCCCCTGCCTAGAATCCCCCAGTGAGGAGATGATGCAATGGTTCAGAGGTAGAGGCCCCTGCCTACTGTGTACAAGGCCCTCTGTCCAATCCCTGTCAGAAAAGATGGGAAAGCTACAATTAGAGCCAGTGCCAGCTTTGTGGTCACCCACTGTGGGCTCTGCATTTCAAATTCCTAAGCCAGCCCTGATGAATGGCTTTCCCTGTAAAGCAACCATGCCTAAATAATTCCTTTCAAAAGGCAAAGAACATAATTCCTTTGGCGGGCCCAGTTAGAAGCCTTAACATAATCTTCACCCTATCTATGAGGCAATCCGCTCAACAGGAGGGTTGAGTAAGATGTCAAGTGCAGAGGAAAGGGCAATGGACCCCAACCCCTGAGCCTCAGCATGAAGTTCTTCAGGAAATGACTGACAGGAAAATGTACTCACATCAGAATGAGGCAAGAAAAAAACTGAACGTCTTTGTTTTATGTTCATCCACCTCCCTGGCTGGCTCTGCTTCCTTGGCCTGCCCTCCTGGCTGCCAATCAAGGTCTAATTACCTTTTACCTGGGTGTGGCAATTGCTTCCCAGGAAACCCAACCTCCATCTCTTTGCTCAAACACAAAGGGAGTGCTGATTCTCCTAAGGGTGCTGTGCCTGCCAAGTTCCAACCCCCTCCACAGCTTCCCATGGCCCAAATGCTTCTCAATCACAATCCTCAATATTCTTAAAAACCCTCGCCCTGTAAGCCATGTGCACTGGTTGGTTTTTTGTCAACTTGACACAAGCTTGAGTCATCTGAAAGGAGGGAACCTCAGTTTAGAAACTGCCTTCATCGGACTGCCCTGGAGGCAAGCTTATGGAACATTTTCTTGATTGATGATTGATTGATTGATTGATTGATTGATTGATTGATTGATTGATTGATGGGGGAGGACCCAGACCACTATGGTGGTGCCACACCCAGGTTCCTCCATGGTCTCTGCTTCAGTTTCTACCCCCAGGTTCCTGCCTGGGAGTTACTGCCTTGACTGCCCTTCATGATGATAAACTATAAACTGTAAATTGAAATAAATCCTCTCCTTCCTGGTTGCTTTTGGTCATGGTGTTTATCAAAACAACAGTAAACAAACTAAAACACCATACTAAGCAGTTACTCGCCCAAACAATTGCAAAACTCCTGTCCCCAGTGTCATATGCCCTGTCAAGAGCAATAAAGAAATGATGAATTCAAGACAAGAGCCCAAGCATTGGATGGTATACAGTAGATGCTCAATTCATTTCACCTGTGTTGATATTTCTTTTCCCAAACACACACGTCTGGGTAAGTCTGTCTTGTGCACTCACAAGCCTCATCTTCACCCCCCAGCAAAGGGCAACAGTGTCATTCTTCCTCAGGTGCCTCCCACTGTCTCTGTGAGACAGTTTCTCTGTGGTTTGAAGCTCACTGACTAGGCTAAGCTAGCAGGTCAGTGAGATGCAGGAATCCATCTGTCTCTTCCAGCCCAGCTATGATTACAGGTATGGGCCATCACTCCTGGATTCTTGGGTTCTGGGAAACAAATTCAGTTCCTAATGCTTGCAAGGCAAGTCCTCTATTGACTGAGCCATCTCCCCAGCATCTTTTCCTTTCCTACCTCATCTCCCTTCCCTTTCTCTCTCTCCCCATGCTCCCAAGGAAAAAGCAAACAGTTTATCAGCTGAGCTATCTCCAGCTTCTCCTGGCTACTCCAGGCCCCACCCTCCCAAGCACTGGAATCACAGGTGTGCACCACCATACTCTGCTTAGCTCCAGGCCATGATCACTTAGAGGCATTCAGAAGCCACCCACTCCAGCAGTACCCCCGATTTCCCTTCCTGCGAAGACCTCTATGTGGGTCTCCCCATCTTTGTATTCTTTCCATGAGTTAGCATTCATCAGAATCAAACTGCTTAGATAGCATTCCCTACCAAACAGAGCCCTTTACACCCATACAACCCCTGCTTATTTTATTCCAAAACGCCCAATAACTTTAAGGCAAAGAGACTCTTTAAATGTTCCCTTTAAATCCACCATGGATCTACTGAGATGGCTCAACAGGTAAAGGTGCTTGCTAGCAAACCTAATAAGTGGAGTCTGATCCCTGGGCCTCATATAGAAGAAAGAGAAACACCCTCTGATCTCCACATTTGTACTGTGGGACATACATGTGCACTCACAGGCATACACACACACACACACACACACAAACACACATGCATACACATATAGTCCCAGATAAGATAGAAGGAACATATAGTTTGAGCCTGGAAAAATAATCAAACCCAGTCTCAAAATAAAAGAATACAAGCTGGATAGATGGCTCAGTAGATGAAATGCTGCTTTGTAAGCCTGAAGAACCGATTCCATCCCTTGGTAGTGAGCACTTGTAATGTCTGCACTGGGAATGGGAAGAAAGGGGTTCCCTAGGGATCACCACTAGCCAGACTACCAAGATCCAGGCCAGTGAGAAACCATATCTAAAAAGAAAAAGAGAGAGAGAGAGACAGGGTGTCTGAGGGACATCCAAGGTTGCCATCTGACCCCACATAGATGTGCACATCTGTGTAAGTACACAGGAACACACTACACACAGGCATGCACAGAGACACATATACACAAAGGGGTGGGGGTGGGGGTCTAATCTGAGAATGACAAATGATGCACACAAGAAGCAAAAGTGACTTAGGGAAGAACTTCCCAAAGCTCCCGGATTTGGTGTTCTTGCCTCATAACCCACATACAGCACATTAAACTCTATTAACAGAAAAGCCACACATTTATTCATGAGGAAGTAGTAAGCCCCAGCCCCAGGCAACAGTAAAACTGCCACCCTGTCCAAGATACTTGCCAGCCAGGCTCTGAACAGAGAAGGCTCCCTGTAGTGGTAAGGCGTGGGCTGAGAGACAGCTTTGAAGAGATCATGACACCAGCTCAAACCCCAGGCAGTCACACCAAGCCTGGGGTTCCTGACACTGCCAGGTAGTCACAGCATCCAGGACTGAGGTTCCTGATACCCCCAGGTAGTCACACCAAGATTACTGACACCTCCACGGCTTCCAAGCATGGGCATACTGACAGATGTACTGTGCCAAGGTTAATCTTGATTGACAAGTGGACGGGATCTAGAAGCACCCAGGGGACAAGCCTGTGTTGTGAGGAAGTCTCTATATTGGGTTAACTGAGATGGGAAGACCTACCCTGTATGGGGGCAGCACCATCCCATGGGCTGGGGACCTGGGCTGAACAAGGAGTGAGCGGCAATGTTACAGGGACTTAATGGAGGCCTAGGGAAACAACCCAGTGGTAAAACACTTGCCCTACAACTGTGAGGGAGTAGGGTTCTGGAACCAGATGACAGGCAGGTGTGACAGCCTGCCTGCATTCCCAGCACTTGGGGGACGAGGAGGAAGATGCCCAGAACAAGCTGGCTTGATAAACTAGGTGAGCAATGGGTTCACATGAGAGACCCTGCTTCACTTGCCTCAAGGAAGACATGCAATGCCAACCTCTGGCCTCCACATATATGCACAGAGACATGCACTCATATT